AGAAAGAGCAAGGGCTTTAGGATTCAAATCCATCTTATGCAAAGAACTGGACATGCTGGCACCAACCACATGAGGTTTAAGTTTCATTCATTTGCCCACCACAGACAGACCATTACATCCATAAGACTAAAAGGAGGATCTGATCGAAAAGGAAGATTTGATCATTTAATTAATATTCTTGTCTTTAAGAGTTCCTTCCAAACTATATCCTGCAAATGAGGCTCCACCTTGGGAATAAAAGAGGCTCAATTTTTTTCCCCAAGCATTATTCTTTCCTTTTAGTCGGGTGCTTACACTTTTTAAGCGCTTACTTACCAAAAGCAGTCACATATCAATTAACCTTCGTGACAACTCTAGGGGTGGGTACTAGTTATTAACACCTTACAAAAGAAAAGAACCTGGACCTTAGGGAGGCTAAGTAAGTCATTTGAGGTCACACAGCCTCCATTTGCCTACGTCGTTAACCAAACACTATGCAGTGATTCCTTTGCTAGCTACTGCAGTGTCCTCTAGACAAATCAGAGTTAACAGTCAGCAAATAGTAAGAAAATTGATGCTGTTCAGCTGAGGAGAAAGATACTCTACATAGTACATGCTACTCTTTGTAATCGCTCTCATTTGAACAAGTTTGCCACTACAGTCCAGACTGAATGGAAGAAAGGATGTCTGAATCTAAAACCCTAAAGCTAGAGCACATGTCGGAAGTGATGTACTTGAACCTCTCTTCAAACCACAGTGATCCTATAGGACAGAGTAGAACAGCCTCATAGGATTTCCAAGGAGTGGCTGGTGGATTTGAACTGCCAACCTTTTGGTTAGCAGCCAAGCTCTTAAGCACTGTGCTACCAAGGCTCCTTGAACCTCTCGTAGATGCTTCTAAACTCTGAAGCAACTTGGCCTAATTGCTCACATTAGGGCAAGCCAGGCAAGCTTGGGTTGTCACTTCCTGTCAAGTACTGAAACAGTTTTCATAATTGCAGAAGTCTATCATTATCATTAGCCTCTTTCTTTATGTCTTCTAGCCAAGTGCTTAACCTGATAATTAAAACAAGCCAGGTTGCAAAGGTGGAAATTTACTGTTTATCTTTCCTCATCTTTCCAAGCAAAAGTTGGTGAGGGGGGAAGGGGGCACACTTACACTAATTATTAAATTTATTATACTATGAACCCTTTACTAGGGAAGGAAAAATCCAAACACTTCAAATTAAATCATACAAACTAATATCCAATTTATCAATCTGAAATTCAGTACAGTAAAACATTGATTCATACTAAGTATTAAACGGCTTCTAACCACAAATTTTCCTTTTTAAAATACAGAAAAACCATTTTAATATTGACATATATATCTATGGTACAAACATGAACTACTAAATTTAGACAACCCAAGAATCCAGAGGGTTATTCATCAATGTGATTAAATCAGGGAGAAACCACCTCTGAATTTTCCACAATTTGTTTTACCATCATCACCTTTTACTAATTTTTATACAAATTATCATTTATGTTGGCTAGTTAATTCAAATTCTGAGTTGACTTAAGTATAACATGACAATATGGTCTTGTTTATGTTACCGTGATCTTCTGCAATTTTTCAGCCTATCAATTTGTTTCCTGATGATGTGGACCAGTCACCAGAAAAGGACATCATGTTTGGTAGCAGGCCAACGAAAACAAAGGAAATCCTCAATGAGATGGAGTGACACAATAGCCACAACAATGGACTCAAACATACCAGCGATCATGAAGATGGTGTAGGACCAGGCAATGGTTCGTTCTATTATACATAAGGTCGCCATGAGTTGGAGCCAATTCAACAGCAACTGACAACAACATCAATTTCTTAAGTAATTTGCCAGCTTTGACAGGAGCCTATTTCAGTGTATTCTTGAACAGTCCCAAGTCTGTTTAGGCACTGCAACTAAGAACTGTATTTCTTACAGTTCTTGTTTTGACTTCCAGAGGGTGGGGGCAGAGAAAAGGCAGATAGGCAGGTGCTCTCTGCATATATTTATTTTCCCAAAGCAGCCACTGAAACTATGTGAACCGAAATAAAACTTAGTCCTCAAATGGACTAAGGGACAACAGACTGAATCAGAAAGCCTAGCCACTTCCAGTGTTGACTTGCAACACAGGATTAGCTGGTAACAAGGAAGAGATGGCAGAGTAGGCCTTTATTGAGTTCTAGCGTTGGCTCTGTTACCAAAACTGACTTTGAATAAATCCCTTGAGCCCATGTATCTTCTGTGGTAAAAAGCCAGGGTTGGACTGGGTGATCTAAGGTTTGGTTCCATCTTTGAGCCAGTTACTAACCTTTGCTGCTGAAACACAGCAACTTCAGAGCCCTTCCTGCTTGGGAGTGGTAGTGAATCTATGGACAACAAACTCCTCACGCCATTAACCAGATTCAACTATTGAACACAGAACAAAGCAGAGTCTTCTGTATGGATGCAGTTTCAATAATTGGGATAGGGGAAAATAATCCTTTACCCCTCATTGTGCTTCATTTTTTTTTTTTTTTTACATTTCCTTTACTTGCATTATTTCACTGATGGTAATCCTCATTTTTATAGAAGGGGAAAGAGGCACACACAGGTTGTAGACTTGGGTATATGGAAAATGGCAGAGCCCAAACTAGAGCCAAGCCCGCCAACTCTCCCAGCAGGCTTCTCACCTAAAATTCCTCCTCCATCTGTCATGACACTCAGGCACAGAAAGGGAGTTTTTCATTGTGCCCTTAAGGTTAGCTGCTCTGGATGCTCTCAGTTCAAGAGAGGTGGTTTCAAAATTCCCCTCCTGCTTGCTTTTAAGCAAAGAAAAGAACAGGGAAAAATAAAAATAAAACAAGCCATATACACAACTCCCAAGGCACATAGCTGGATGATTTAATATTAGGGCCAAACTGAAACCTGATAATGAAAATGAAGACAAAGCAATATTTTCCTCAAGAAAATACATATTTGGAGGAAGAAACTTTTTTTTCCCCTCATTAAAAAAATTATTCACAAATTGTTTTGTGACATCGGTTGTGATCCCTGCCATGTGTCAGCACTCTCCCCTTCCCTTTCCACGCTGGCTTCTCCATGCCCATTTGTCCAGTTTTCTGTCCCTTCCTGCCTCTTTGCTTTTGGGCGGGTGTTGCCCATTTGGCCTCATATACTTGATTGAACTAAGAAGCACTTTTCTCATGTGTGTTGTTTGTTTTATAGGCCTGTCTAATCTTTAGTGGAAAGGTGGACTTTGGGAGTGGCTTCAGTTCTGAGTTAGCAGGGTGTCTGGGGGCTATAGTCTTAGGGGTTCCTCCAGTCTGTCAGACCAGTAAGTCTGGTCTTTTTTTGTGAATCTGAATTTTGTTCTCCATTCTTCTCCAGCTGTGTTTAGGACCCTCTATTGTGATCCCTGTCAGAAGGATCAGTGGTGGTTAGCTGGGTACCATCTAGTTCTTCTGGGCTCAGGCTGGTGGGGGCTGTAGTTCATACAGTCCATTAGGCCTTTGGATTAATATATATATATTTAAACTGTGCTTTAGATAAAGGTTTACAGAGCAAGTTTCTCATTAAACAATACACATTTTGTGACACTGGTTGCCAACCCTGTGACATGTAAACACTCTCCCCTTCTTGACTTTGGGTTTCCCATTGCCATTCGTCGAGCTTTCCTGTCCCCTCCTGCCTTCTCATCGTTGCCCCTGGGCTGGTGTGCCCACTTAGTTTCATATACATGGTTAAGCTATGTGTACTACTGTTTGGTTTATGGGCCTGTCTAATCTTTGGCTGAAAGGTGAACCTCAGGGGTGACTTCAGTATTGAGTTAAAAGGGTGTCAACAGGCCATAGTCTCAGGGGTTCCTCCAGTCTGTCAGACCAGTAAGTCTGATCTTGTTTTGTGAGTTAAAAGAATTTTGTTCTACGTTTTTCTCCAGCTCTGTCTGGGACCCTTTATTGTGATCCCTGTCAGAACAGCTGGTGGTGGCAGCTGGGCACCATCTAGTTCTGCTGGACTCAGTCTGGTGGAGGCTGTGATAGTTGTGGTCCATTAGTCCTTTGGACTAATCTTTCCCTTATGTCTTTGGTTTTCTTCATTCTCCCTTGCTACGGACAGGGTGGGACCAGTGGAGTATCTTAAATGGCCACTCAGAAGCTTTTAAAACCCCAGATGCTACTCACCAAAGTAGGATGTAGAACATCTTCTTTATAAACTGTTATGCGAATTGAGCTAGCTGTCCCCTGAAACCATGGTCGCCACAGCCCTCAGCCCAGTAATTTGGTCCCTCAGGGAGTTTGGATGTGTCTATGAAGCTTCCATGACCTTGCCTTGGTCAAGCTGTGCTGACTTCCCCAGTATTGTGTACTGTCTTACCCTTCACAAAAGTTACCACTTATCTATTGTCTAGTGTTTCCTCCCACCCCAACCATCAAAGATTGTTTCTGTGTGTAAACCTTTTCATGAGTTTTTAATAATAGTGGTCTCAAACAATATTTGTCCTTTTGTGATTGATTTATTTCACTCAACATAATGCCCTCCAGATTCATCCATGTTCTGAGAAATGTTTCACAGATTCCTTGTTGTTCTTTATTGTTGTGTAGTATTCCACTGTGTGTACCATAATTTATCCATTCATCTGCTGATGGGCACTTAGATTGTTTCCATCTTTTTGCTATTGTGAATAATGCTGCAGCGAACACGGATGTGCTTATGTCTATTCATGTGACAGCTCTTTTTTCTCTAGGATATAGTCCTAGGAGTGGAACTGCTGATTTGTATGGTATTTCTATTTCTAGCTTTTTAAGGAAGCACCATATCATTTTCCAAAATGATACTATTTTGTATTCCCACCAGCAGTGCCTAAGAGTTCCAATCTCCTCACAGCCTCTCTATTTGTTATTTTGTTTTTTTGATTCGTACCCAGTTATGTTGGGGTGAGATGGTATCTCATTATAGTTTTGATCTGCTATTTCTCTAATGGCTAGTGATCACGAACATTTGGAGGTTGAAAAAACATTTTTTAAAAAAGATGTTTATTTGGAAAAGTCAGCCTCTTACACAGGTTTTGTATCTATAGTTTCACTCTGTTAATTACAATGATAATTTAAATTCTTGGAATATAATTAATTGAATGTTTATCAATATCTTCCTGCCTCAATTTAAAAGATACTAGGTTAAAAAATATTTACAGTTTTTCTTCTGGTCTGTCCTCCCTCCTATCATTACACTGAGCCCATTTCTCTACTTTTCAGTAAGTGAAAAGGCTCACAAAATCTTCAGGTTTGTGTGGAAAGAATACTTCCAGTAAATCTAAGCACAACATAATTTTCTTTAAGGCCTTCTCAGAAAAAAGAAAAGGAGTTATTTATTGAAACTGAGCACACTTAGTAACTTCTCTCCCAATCTTATCCGTACTGGCTTGCCTGGGGCCAAATTTCTTTGGCAGTCTTTAATTTGAACACACTGAAACACACACACACTGAAACACACACACACACACACACACACACACACCTACCTTTAAGCTGAAGCAGACATAAATGGAAACACTATGAATAAAGGGGGAAAATTCCAGGAAAAAAAGTTCCAATAGTCTCACAGTTTAACTGAAGTTTTAGAAAAACCTAAGCTGAATTCAGCTACTGTTTCAAATATCTGTCTACATTTATTAGATGCGTTGCATTTACTAAGGAGACACAAATACAGTCTTGTAGATTTTAATTCTAACTTTTACAGTGAGAAAAATAATATCAAGTGATTTCAAAAGGGGGAATGATCTATATAACCACTCAAAAAGTGTCTTTGAACAGGGGAGCAAAAGTAGTAATTTAATGAAACAACCCTCAAGCGCTTGGCTTCTAATCAGCATCCCAAGAAAAGGTATCAAAGAGGTATTAACTAGTACAATGTGGCTAGAGAAGCCAAGATATCTCCAAAGTTTTATGCTTTAAATTTCCTAAATTTATACATAGCAGGCATATATGCCAGGCAACTACTGAGGCTTGGAAAATATTTTAGTCAGCATTTTATAAAATCCCCAACTTTCAACCAGTATTTCTATCCATAAATCTTCCACTGACAATGTCTAGCAATATATCACAAATAATAATGAAGCAAGATTAATTTAAAATTTTAGATTTGCCTCCAACAAGTTAGTTGTTATTTTTCCTTTAAACATGACACTTAAAATAGATAAATTCAGCAGAATGGTTAAAAAAGTTAATGCTCCCTAAAGAGTTCTAAGACTAAAACTTAAGGCACATATTATAATCTTCACGCCGCTGTTAAAAGCTAAGATTAAAAAAAAAAAAAAAAAACAGAAATAACTACTTCCTTCCCTCATCTTTTGCCAACCACTCCCTCACCCAAGGATATGGCATTTTTAACTCAGGCTACTAAGGAGTGAAACAGAAATTCCACAAGGAACACCTGGTATAATTTCCACACAAACGTCCACTGTCTGCATTGAGCACCACTGGTAGGATACAGGCCAGTAGAATATTTTCAGGTATCTTGGGTCACAAGCTGCTCCATTTACCCTTCAGCCTCATGGGCTCAGACTGGACTCTCCTCCTCTTTGGGGCTTCCTTCTGTGCCTTTCTGCTCCAGAGATTCTGCTGCTTTAGTAACTTCTTTTGGCTTCTCAGCAATAGCTACACTGGCTTCCTCCTCTTTACTTTCCATTTTCTGCTTCTGCTCTTTCTGTTCTTTTGCCACTAGTCGATAATTGATGCCCATGCCAATGAAGAGATAGATACCTGAGAAAATTAGGATTACGCCACATGCCCAGTATGTGTACTTGTAGTCTCCATACACGTCATTGAGACGACCTAAAAATGTCCAAAAAGGAAAAAAACAAAAAAAGTTATGTAGGTAAACAAGTATGCCCTTTCCCAAATAAAGCTTAAGGATCCACTCAAAGATGTCAATCCAATCTTTAAGGCACCCACAAATGACAATTAGTCTAAAAAGGAATGGCTAAAAATTATCTGATCCTTTGTTTATAATGCCACACTCATTTTGGATGGCCTTGCATATCCTGTTGTTTTTAGGATTTTAATTATTTAAAATAATTAAATCTTGGCAAATTTGAATTGGGAAAGACCTAGAGATCACCGAGAATCAATTTTCTCATTACACAATGGAAAAAGAAAAAAAAATTGTTGCTCAAAAGAGGTTTAGGAGTTTTGCCCAAGGCCACAGTTATTTCAGTTTCCTAGGCCAAAGCTCTTTCTCAGACATCAGCAGTCCCCAAAGCATGTTCCTATGAACACTCGTCCTATACTAAAAATTTAACCCACACCAGTATCCTTCCACTGTTATAACTGCTTAAATTCTCACAACAGACAGATTTTATCATCATCCCCATTGTACAGATATAAAAATTGAAGCACAGAAATGTTAAGTAACTTGCCCAAGGTCACAAAGCTAGTAAGTGAAATAGGTTGGCTTTAAACCTAGGAAGTCTGATCAGGGGCCTACACCCTTAGCCACTGTGCTACACTGATACCTCTCTCATGTTTCAAAAGCCAAGTAAATTTGGGAAGTGGCATATCATATCCTTTTAAAGATTCAAAAGCACATTACCATATTACAGGCTTTGCAAGATCCTGTAGTAAAGAAATCTCTTTGACTTGGTGTCCTCAAACTTTTAGCCAAGTAAATTTGGGAAGTGGCATATCATATCCTTTTAAAGATTCAAAAGCACATTAGCATATTACAGGCTTTGCAAGATCCTGCAGTAAAGAAATCTCTTTAACTTGGTGTTCTCAAACTTTTTTTTTTTGGCCATGAAACCCTGTTATAGTAAATTTTATTAGCATCTCATCAAACTAGTATCTCAAGGAATAAAATTTGGAAAACCCTACTCTACATCTATAAAGGACTAATTCAAAATGATTCCATAGGGTTTTCTAACTCAGAACATTATTCATTCAGCAGTATTTACTGAGCCCTTATCACATGCTAAGGAGCCCTGGTAGCATGTGGTTAAGTGCTCAGCTGCTAACCAACAGGTTGGTGGTTTGAACCCACCAGCTGCTCCGTGGGAGAAAGATGTGGAAGTCTGCTCTGGTAAAGACTTACAGCCTTGGAAACCCCATGGGGCAGTTCTACTCTGTGTATAGGGTTGCTATGGGTTGGAATCGACCCAACAGCAACAGGTATTATCATATGCTAGGCATTGGCTGTGCTAGCAAAGGAGATAACATCCACAGTTCAGTGGTGTGGTGCAATGGATCACTTTTGTGTGGCCTTTCTAGCTCTGATCTTGTAACTCCCACCAAATGATTGGGCGCGACTGTGCAGATATGGTAATTGTAGCCCACGAAAGGGATTGGTTAGTTTTGCCATCCCGCTGGACTTGAGATGAGTGACCCCAGAGGTGTGAAAGAGAGGATCCCACCACCACCAAGGAAGAACAGCCAAGAGCCAGGCCATGCAGAGCCTTGCAGGCCACATTAGGGAATCTGATCTTTATCCTAAAAACAATGGGAAACAAATGGTGAGTTCTAATCAGTTGGAATATCAGATTTACATTTGCAAAGATAATTTTGCTGGCATAGTAGAAACCAGACTGTAGCCCACTTTGAGTGGATATGGGTAGACTAGTTAGGAGGTTACTGGAGCAGCCCAGATAAGAGATGGGAGCAGTTGTAATAGAGAAAGTAGACATATTAGAGAGATTTAGGCGGTGAAAACTGGCAGGATTTGGCAACTCACTGGGTACGGAAAGGGAGGAAGAAGGTATTATCAGATGACAGTGTGGCTCTTCTTTGTGTGTCCTCACTCCCCAAATCATAATTTCAAAAGTATGAGTCATGCCCAGAAGGAGGGCCAAATTCTCCCCCTCGTGTTATCTATTGGGCTATTAATTTAAAATGTGAAGTACTTAGTAATCTTAGGGAATAGTCCCCAAATTTTATACTCACTAGCTGTGTGTGATCTTGGTCAAATTATTTCACCTTTACAAACCTCTGTGTCTTCATTTATAAAGTGGAGATTATAATAGTCCATCCTTATAAACTTGTGAGATACGACAGGATATATAAATGGCTAGGACAGTCCCAAGAAATTCTAGTGGTGCAAAAACCCTGGACAGTACTCTGGGTAAGCAGCTGCTAACCAAAAGGATGGCAGTCTGAACTTACCCAACCGCTCTGCAGGAGAAAGATCTGGTGAACTGCTGCCGTAAAGACTGTTGTTTGTGTGCCTTCGAGTTGATTTTGATTCACAGTGACCCTATATGTCAGAGTAGAACTGCCCCATGTGGTTTCCTAGGCTGTAATCTTTATGGGAGCAGACTGCCAGGTTTTTTTCTTCCATAGAGCAGCTGGTGGGTTTGAACACCGACCTTTTGGTTGATAGCCAAGCGCTTAATCATTGTGCCACCAGCTTAGAAAACCCTATGGTGCAGTTCTACTCTGTCACATGAAATTCAACTCAAGGGCACTTAACAACAATAGCAACAACAGGACAGTCCTTGGTACACTGTGAGCTTCATACAGTAGCAATTATTATCATTTTAACGATTACCATTGAGATACACTCCGTCAGTAAAATGAAATCACCGTCAGTGCTTTAAAGGTAGCGTTGTATTTTACACATTTTCCTATAATAAGCATATTAATTTTATGAAGAGGAAAAACTATTTTAAAAAACCAGAATTTTGTAATATTTGATTCTTTTTTCACTTGATGGTTCAACTTAATCCAATTCTGTATCTGAGCAGTTATGCTGTACAAGCATTGGGCCAGTACCGAGGTACAGAAATGAGATTTGCTCTCTGCCATCAAGCAGCTTACTAACCTCTGCTTTCTATCACCCTTCCAATCTTGTACACCTGTTATACGATAACAGAAACCAGAGAGGTAGGGGGACATACTATACCTAACATTGGTGGCCCCAGGAGGACAGGACAGCATTCCACAATGGTCACCAATCCCACAGCGCTGGAGAACCTCTGGGGTCCAACGAGGTCCATCAGTGTTTCAAATAATACTGAGCTGAGCCATCCAAATGCAAATCCAAAGAATACCGCATAGACACAGAACCCAATATAGCTGGTGGCTAAAGGTGCTAACATATGACACACTCCATTTGCAATAATAGAAGCTGCAAAGAAATACTGAACACGAGGTCTTATCCACCTTGTGTTGGCTACAAGTCCCATGGAAGGTCTGGCGACCATGTCAACAAAGGCCAGAATAGAAAGCAGGAAGGCAGATTTCTCGCTAGAGTAATGCTTACTCTTGCCGTAATTACTAAGAAAGACTAAAGGTGTAAACAGTCCAAAAAACATAAGTACATTGCCAGAGAGGTACAGCAAAAAGCCTCTGTGAGTAAAAAGGGAAAAGTCCAGGAATCTGTTAATTGTTTGGAAGACTGATAGTTTCTCCTCTTTGGGGTTTCCGCCAATAAGATCTGTATTTGCATCACCTGCATCTTTTTTTTCATCAGATTTTCCAGCTTCCTGAAGGGATTCTTTAGACTTCTCTTTCCTTTCGTTGGTTGGCTTGGGCCCTATTGGTCGCATCAGGGATCCAGCTACACAGCAGTTTAGAAGGAGGCCCCCAAGAATTAGGAAGCTTCCTCTCCAGCCAAAGATACCAAAGAAAGCCTGGTTGAGGGGAGCCAGGGTAGAGAGGAACACAGGGCTGCCTGCCATGGCCAGTCCATTTGCCAATGGTCGTTTCTTGTAGAAATACTTGCCAATCATGGTTAGAGCTGGATTCAAGTTGAAGGCAAGTCCAAGGCCTGGGGAAGAGGGGGAAAAAGAAAAAAAGCACATACTGTAATAAATGTCAGAAATATATTTGGAATTACTTAGCCAGACAAAGAAACTAAGAGGTATAAATAATGGAAAGGAGATAAAAGTCATCATCATTAGAGAGGCCATATTGTAAAGTGGTTTAAAGTGTAAGCTCTAAAACCAGAATACATGGGTTCAAATCTCAGCATCACCACTTACTGGCTTTGTAATCTCAGATATGTTGAGCCTCCTGACTGTTTCTTAATATGTAAAACAGGCACACAGCACTGTTGTGAGGAACACAAGACTTAATTCCTATAAAGCACTTAGAACAGTGCCTGGAATGTAGTAAGCACTCAGTAAATATTAATTATTGTTTGTATTATCTGGAGGGAAATGACTGTCTAGTTGTCAAACTTGGTAAAATCACCTGAAGGGCTATCATAACCAGTAGAAGATCATTAAGCAGACAGTTACGAACAGAGAAAAAACATATTTACAATAGAAAATGCAATACAAAATTATCCCTTTCACTACAACACCAATGATTTTAAAATGTGTAATTTATATGACTAAAATTGTGAAACTTGCCTGAGAATTAAAAACGAAACACAAATACAAATAGTCTTTGGATAATAAAAGATAACACTGTCAAGATGTCAATACTCCCCAACCGAATGTATTAACTTAATGTGATTCCAATAAAAATGTCAGTGGATTTTATTTTGGGGATGAGGTAGAGTGACTCTAAAATATATTTAGAGAGCAAATACACGGGGTGGGTGAAGAATTACTTTACCCAAAGAATTTGTTGTGGGAAGTAACCTCTAAACCCCTGGAATTTTCTAGTAACTGGAATGTCTTTGTTATTCATGGAGAACTTTGGACCACACCTGACAGGTTATGTTAATGAGGTGACTCATGCTGGGGTGGGGGTGGCCATGCAGAAAGACCCACATTACATCAGCCTGAACTCCAGGGAGAAGTGGGGGACTGGAGACCACATGGGCAATGACTCCATCAATTGTGCCCACCTAATACCAAAAAAAAAAAAAAACCCCAAACCCATTGCTGTCGAGTTAATTCTAACTTATAGCCACCCTACAGGACAGAGCAGAACTATCCCATAGGATTTCCAAGGACCAGCTGGTGGATCTGAACTGCTGACCTTTTGGCTAGCAGCCTACCGCTTAACCACTGTGCCACCAGGGCCCTTGCCTACATAATAAACCCCCCTAAAAAGCTCTGGACACTGAAACATGGGTGAGCTTCCTGGGTAGTGACAGACATCAATGTATCCCTGGGGATATGGGAAGTTTTGTGTTGGGGACCCTCCCAGACCTCGCCCCATGCATCTCTTCTTTATGCCAGTTCTGATTTTATATCCTCTCAGTGGCAACAACAATATAATAGAACTGTAATTGTAAGTGCAGTGCTTTCCTGAGTTCTGTGAAACATCCTGGCAAATAATTGAACCCGAGGGGGTAGCTAGCAGGTCAGAAGGGCAGGTGTCCTCATGCGATAGTGGGAACCCTTGAATTCGCAGCTAGCAGGTCAGAAGTGGAGGTGTCCTGGGGAGTCCTGAACTTCCGGATGATCTCTGAAGTTTTGGGCCTATTTGGCAGTGTGGAGGACTGTGCCCTTTAGCCTGTGAGATATGACCTGGCCCTGGTGGTTAAGGGACAGAAGAACTGCACTGCAGGTAGTGTCAGAACAGGACATAATTGAACTGATTATACTAGACATGGAAATCACCAAGACATTTTTGGTGGTGCAGGGGGGAGGAGTGGGACCAACCCTGACAGATACTTAAACATATTTACAAAAGCTGTGATCATTAGAACAGTGTGGCCCTGTCTCTGGAAGAAACACCGATCAATGAAAATGGACAGCAAGTCCAGGAATAGACCCAAAATATATACAAACATTTAATGTAAGATAAAAGTGACATTTTAACTTAATACGGAAAGAACAAATGAATCAATACATAGTGCTATTATGAGTAAATATTCAAGTAGCTTTCTAAATGCTCTTCCTCACAGTCCCCCTTACCCCTAACCCTCTTGCTTCCTACCATCTGTGTTTAAGCCATTCACAGAGGCTTAAACCAATAAACCAGAGTGGGTCACTCCCTTATTTCAAACCTGCTAATGGCTGCCTATCCACAGTCTTTACCCTGGCCTTACCTCCCTCCCTGACCACATACCACACCTTTCTCACATGTGCCAATAATAAGCATGCTACTGACTTAAGGCCTATGTTTCCCTAGAGTTTCACAAAGCTAATTCTTTGCTGTCACTCAGATCCCTACTTAAAGCCATCTCGTCACCTTTGGTGACTACCAAAGTGTCACAACACTTGGTTCTAAGGCTTTGTAGGGCATTTATCGCTACTTAATATTTTTTCTTTTTTATTTATTTGTGAGTCTTTCATTGTCTGCTTCCTCCCATTTAAGGGAGTTGTTGCCTGAACTTGTTGCTCAATCCCCACAACACCTAGAACAGTGTCTGGCATACATATGGTTATTGCTGAATAAATATTTGACAAGTGAATCAATAAAAGAAGAAACAAAGTTGTATTTCTTCTCATTTTATGTTAGATGTTTTCATCCATTCAGAATTTTTAAATGTAAAGTATAAAGCATACTAAAAGAAAAAGTAGGCAAATAATATTCATGATCTTGGAGTGGGAAACAACTTTCTAAGAATGATATTCAAGACTGAGGGTTTTGAAACCCTGAAAATGTTAGAACATTTAATTAGGGGGAAAAAGTAGAACAAGATTAAATCAAAAATTTTCAAACAGCAAAAAATTAATTGGGAAAAATAAATGCATCTCATGCAAAAGGATAATTTAATATATAAAGTTATTACACATTATTCTTATATCAACAAGAAAATGAATACACAAAAATGGTCAACAGGCATTTTGTAAAAAAATATACACAGTCACAACATATGAAAAATATTTACCTTACTACTAATAAAAAAAAAAAACCCTGTTGCCATCAGTCAATTCCGACTCATAGCGACCCTATATGACAGAGTGGAGCTGCCCCATAGGGTTTCCAAGGAGTGCCTGGTGGATTCAAACTGCTGACCTTTCGGTTAGCAGCCTGAGCTCTTAAAGAGATGCAAATTATAACCAGGAGACATTGTTCACCTGTTAAACTGGCAGTGATTAAAAAAAAAGACAATATCCCATAGTTGGCGAGGACACTCGTTCTCATATATTGTGGGTGGGATTTCTGGAAAGTAACTTAGCTTATATGTATTAAAGACACACACACACAGCAGTTCCCCTTCTACAAATCTATCCTGATAAAATATTAATGTTCACAAAAGACTATCAATCAGATACTGTTCAACAACCTAAATATTCAACGATTAATAACACTGATTAAATTATGGTATATCCATTCAATGGAATAATAAACATTAAAAATGTTATATATCATAATATTTAAAGACATGGAAAGATATTTAAGATATATATTAAGTATACTTAATACCTTGAGTTCATTATGGCAATAATTCAATATGGCAATCTGGCTATTAAAAAAAATCAAGTATCTTCTACCTCTCAAAAGTATATCGGGGCATTCTACCTACCACATAACTCCTGCTTTATGTTTAGTACTTTCTCCTTCTCCAATAGAAGCCTACTTCCTCTTGTGAGGAAGAAGTTATAACTAATGACCACTCTTGCAACAGGTTGCCAGGTACATTTTATCCACCACCGTCTATTCTTAGGGAAACCATCTCTTTCAAATTCAACGAACAATGAACATCTATATGACAGCAATACCTTTAAAAGTTTGCTTTTCTAATGTGCTAATTTATCTATAGCTCTTCAATATAATCCAGTAATTTCTATAAGGAAGTAATTTCACTCAAAAGATCTGACAGATGAATGCACATAAACACCCAACAGCAGCAGTAAATTAATGCTTGAAAATGAATCAGGAGCAACTCACCTCCAATGACTCCAATACACAAGTAAAGTTCCTGTACACTGTTACAGAAAGAAGCTGCAATCAAGCCACAGCCTGACAAGCAGCCACCAGCAATCATGATTGGACGACTGCCATATTTATTCACCAGGACACTGCTGATAGGACCTAAGAGATAACCAAAAATGTAGTAGTATAAAGGAAAAGAACCTACCCCTCATATCTACACAAGGCATTAATGACACTAAATGACAAATCCTCCAGAATAAACAGATAGAACAAAGGGCAATGGTAAAGAATATAGCTTTCTGTAATTATTTCAGAGTCACAGGTATGTGTACTGGAAAATAAAGACGCTAGAAAACATCACTGTATATCTTCTATATCTAGAAATATTGGATGGAATTTTATTAAAATACAATAAAACCTGAAAAAGTCAGAACCTGTCAGAGAAGGAAAACTCAAATATTTTCCACTAACAGAGAGAGCTAGAAAAGTGGTAAGACTTCCCCCATCAAAGGCGGAAAACTTGTGAGACCCAGGAAAACAAAGCAGTCCCATTGAGTTCCAGCTCTCACAGGTTTCACTGTATAAAAGACTCTAGTCTATCCTTAGTCTTTCTCTTATAAGGCAGAACAGGCTGAAAACACTCTGGTAATGGATGTTCATAGGCTTCTTACTGTATCTAGGATATGATCAACATATATTTAGTAAGTTTGCTCTGTTTTAATTTTTGGACAGGCATCTGGAATAAAGACAACTGATAGGATGTGATATATGAACATATTTGAATACACGTTATCATAAATGTGGTTTGTGTTGTTTAAAAAAAAAAAAAATAGAACTGTGCTCCATAGGGGGTTTTCAGTGGCTGATTTTTCTGAAGTAGACTGCCAGGCCTTTCTCCCAAGGCTCCTCTGGGTGGACTCAAACCTCCAACTAAGCGCATTAACCATCTGCACCACCCATGGACTCTTTCTCCTCGGTAACCCCACAAAAAAGGATACTTAGACTCTAACAAGCATTAGCATCTACCTCTGACCTAAAGCACTAAAAAAAAAAAAAAAACTAAACCAATCATAACTCAAAACATACTAGAGTTCTGGGTATGGCTCAAGTGCACAAGTAAAGAATTATTACATCTGTAAAAGTGAAGATAATTCTTAGGGGACATAATATTTAGAAGCCAATCAAAACAAAATAACCCATTTAGTAAAAAAAAAATCTGCCACAAGGCTCATAATAGGCAATTTGTTTTTCACAGTTATTTCAGGAAGGATGACAACCCCAATTAGCTATCATTAAAAGTAGAGAATAGGTCCAATTTATAGGCCTATTATAACAAATTTAGAGAAATGTGCTAGTTATCTTACAAAGAGTTGAGGACAAAGAAGGAACCAACCGTTTCCTCAAAGGAAAGTGTCATGTGCAATTAGCACTACTGACATCACTTACTTTTGATGTAAAATGCAAGTGGCTCTCAAACTCTTTTTCAAGAAATTCTGCAGCTCAGAATTTCAACATGTGAACCTCTGATCTGTAGTCAGCCTAAAGATACACTGAGGACCTGGAGCAGGTACCTCTGGATAATACACCAATTTCTTCAAGTCATAATGGTCAGAACATTATTAGAAATCCTGGCAGGTTAGTGTTCAGAGCCGCCAAAATTACTGGCTCTCAGAAGCTAGAATATGGTCCAAAGTCCCTTTTGATTTCTCTGAACTTATTAAAAATAATAAGTACTATAATTTAGGACTTAGGTTCTTTAAAAAATTATTCATTTAATAAACAAAATAAGCATATGTTCAAACTTTAAAAAGTACAAAAAGATATACAGTAGAAAAAAAGTCTTCCCACTTCTGTTCCTAGCTACTCAGTTTAACCAGGTTACCTATTTCTTCTGTGAAATTAAATCATGTGCTTGATTAATTTATGACTTCAATTACTCACTCCTGTTTGATTAGCTTATGTTATAAACTTCTAAAAGGCTAGGGTCGGGACGAGTGCTCTCTATCACTCACAACGCCTAACATAACTCAGTGCTAAACATGACCATAGGGCTCAATAGCTACTGGCTGAATCTGTCACAAGTTTAGCAGCCTAAGGCTAAATTATTTATAACTGGAATGTGGAATCTCTATAAAAGAGCTAAACAAGCAAACAAACAAAACAAAATCCATTGCCATTAAGTCGATTCCAACTCATAGCGACCCTATAGGACAGAGTAGAACTGCCCCACAGGGATTCCAAGGAGCAGCTGGTGGATTTGAACTTTGACTTCTTGGTTACCAGCCATAGTTCTTAACCACTGTACTGCCAGGGCTGTTAAAGAGCTACATATGAGAATAATCTGAGGTACTAAATTTCCACCAAAACCAAGATTAAAAGAAGTAAAAGCTTGGCTAAATAAGCAACAAGATACACTGTCAATCCCAGTAAATAAATACACTTGGATTTAGAATTCCTGCTAAACTACCAGATATTTTAACTATTACAGTGGGCTTGACTTTTACAAGTTAAATTGTGACTTGATGTTCCCAGGTGAAACACAATTTTAAATGATGTTAAGTAAACAACTTACTCTCTACATTTCCTTCACAATTTGCCAAAGAAAACAGAAGGGGAAAAAATGACAAAACTTCATTGTGTAGGGTACAGCTGAAATGCTTTTGGACTCATAAAGTCACAAGGAACAAGGGACAGATTTTATTGAGTTCTTTAATTCTAACACCATGAAAAGATTTTACCTGAGACTTTGAACAATGCTATTCAGGTTAGCCTGACTTATTTTAATTCTTCCAACAACATTTAGAAAGTGTCTGTATTTATTTAGCAGAGAGCAATAACAAGAAAAATCAGTTGTTGTCACTGAAAACTTTTTTTTTTAGCTCAATACTTGAGTTGGATCAAATCAGGGATCCTCACAATTTCTCATTTCTGTTTCAGAATACTACAGTAGAACAATCAGAGCAAGACTTGCCATTGGGAAGAGAGGCCAAGGGAATGAAAAAATGTAACTCTAAATGTGACAAAAAGCTTACAGAAATAACATTTCAAAATACCTCACTGAATAAGACATCAAAAAGAAAAGTTACCTAATACAGAGTCTCTGGCTGCTTAATGGTAGTTAAAAGAGCAGGCCTTAGTGGGTACTTACCTCCACCATACATAACAGCCAACATGATGGAGGATATCCATGATACTTCACTGGTGGTGGCATTGAATATACCTTCAATTTCTTTGAAGAACACAGTAATAGATTTAGGAAATGCATAAGAGAAGCCGATGGAAATGAAAGCTCCAACAACTACTGCCCACCCCCAGCCTCCATCTGGGGGGGTGTATCCAACTGGACCTCCAACTGCTGGTGGCATTGTACGTGAAGATAAATTTCAAAATGCAGGTCAGATCCAAATATCTGAAAGATATTAAATTAAAATAATACATCAACAATAGTATGTCCCACAAAACCCCTTACACCTAGCTTTGAAGTAACAGAATGTTCTTCAATGTTACCTAACACAGACATTGTTTTCTGAGAACATTAACAGAAAAAGTCTTAGATTTACGGTATTGCCCGTTATTTTTAGCAGCTTAAAGGAAAAAAGCTCCCTACCACTTAGAAAGCATACCAAAATAAGTCATTTTTAATACATGTAGCCTTTGTATAGTGTACAGGTATTGAAATACACCTACTGGCTTTTATCAGTATCATAATTCCTCAAATTACTTACTATAAATATGCCTCATTTGACTTATGTGCTTGCAAAATTCACCTAACACCCTAAGAAAGTTTCATGTTTTAAATACAGCCTCTACAAGTTTCTCCCTTTTCCCAAAACACATTCTTTAATACTTAGTTTCTTTTTACTTTCTCTTATTTATGGGCTGATTTATAATTGTTAGGAAGTAAGTACCTAACTCACTAGATATGTAGCAATTTGCAAAATAGAAGATCATTCCGAACAAACAAAAGTCTCGCTTACTGGGCTGGAAAATTATTTCAGAAAAATTCCCTTTCATCTAATTGCCTCAATTCATGGTATTTCTTTCCCCACGGTATGACAACTAAATAACAGATAGTCAATACAGTTAAGCTCTCAAATTGAACTCTGATTTCAAAAGATAACAGTTATAAAAACTTGAAGTCATCCAGTGCTATCTAGTGAACAGCATGGTTAAAAAAAAAAATCTCCTGTTAGATTATGACAAGGAGTAGATAGAGTGAGCGTTTGGTGGTATGCTTATCTGGCTTCTCATGAAACTCTCCTTTAACTTATTTAAGGTAACTTTCACCCTATATTTCAACTCATTCTGCAACACTATGTTAGCATGCCCACTTCAGATTACCTCCACTCAGGCCGTATTACAGCAATAATATAGAGACAGCAATCTCACTCTTGGCCTCAATGTTCTTTAGTCTAAAATACAAATCCTAGCTTAATAGCAAGAGTAGTCTCAACTTCTAAATACAGTTCCTTCCAACTGATCTGAATACTTCAAATATGATTTAGGACAAGTGACCTTGTAGGGGTAGAAAGAAAACAGCCCCTACAGAAAATTTTCCTAAAAAATGAAAAAATGAATAAAAGGGGGAGGAAAAAGAAAATAATAATCAATGCTCTCAACTGAAACAATTCAACAAAAGGATACTAAGGTAAAATACAATCATTCCCAGGTATTTATTAAAGGCTTACTACATGCCAGGCCTTTTGCAGGTACTATAAAGACAGCAGTGACTAAAATAGATATAATTCCTATCCTTATCTAATCGAGAAGATCTCAGATAAATGTAATTAAAGTTAAAATTTAAACACTCTAGTACAATGGTAAAGACAGGTAGCAATGTTAGGCATTTGTGTTTTGGAATTTTTTAAAGAGAATGCTGCTAATGTTTCACCATTTTGAACTGGTATTTGCTGTAGGCTTTTGGTAGATCTTTCTTTTGGTTATGGTTCTTGCTGTATCTTTTTCTTTTTTCTATGTCCTTACATTTTGTGTATCATTACACAGCATATATCTTTTATCTAGTCTGACAATCTAACTTTTTTTTAATACCAAAAATTATTTTATCCTCTTAGGCTAAATAATAATGATAAAAGCAACAACAAATAAAAAGAGTAGAAGTACTAGTAATAATAATAGTGGCAGTAACTAGAACAAAGACGGTAATGTTTCCTTATATTTAAAAACTTTTTAGTCATTAAAATTTTTTAAATTATCCTACAGTAAAAATCGACTTGGATATGGACATAAACTCTGCCTCCAAAACCCATATTTAAATGAAAGACCCTTTTTAAGGGGGGAAGGAGGACTCTTGCCAGACCACTGAGTTAATGAATTATTTGTTATTTATATATATATAAATTAGACAGAATTACAAAACTCAAATTAACTTAAATGAACATTAATTCAATGAGACAGATGATGCTGTCTTGCTGAAATCAGATTACCGCTCACAAACTGAATTCGACTAAGCTACTATATACTCCTTTGTATTTGAGCTACCACAAAACTTCATTTTGTAGGGTTTACAGTGTTCCATGACATCATCTGATCTTCACTTGTATAAACCCATCATTTACATATTAGTTAAGCTTCTACTGTTCTAAATTAGCCTGCACAGTTAAAGTCATACCGTTTACTACCAGTATTTATTGTAAAAACTAGCCCCTCCAAAAACAAATGCATAGTGGTTTTCCTTTAAGTTGGTCAGTCACGATATGCAGAAAATGCTTTTGTTAGAACTTTAAACTGTCATTAGAATGAATCCCAACATTTAAAATTCTCAGATCCTAAATAATACATTATTTATGCACGTATATACGTATATACAAACATTTTTAGTGAGATTACAAGAAACCCTGTATCAGAGTAATGCCACCACAAAAGTCCTAGACACACTATTCAGATTCCTCCAGAAGGGGAAGATTTCCTCCAAAGTTCCTTGAGAGGCTTTGTTTAGCTTTTTCCCAAGACTCCCCAGGGTCCTTTGGCCAGAGAAACAGGTCTGAGATGTAATGAGAACCAGCAAGCTCCACTAGGAGAATCCTGGATTCCAGAGGCCCAACTATTTATGTTGAAGATCAGTTAAAAAAACAAAAAACAACTCAAAGACCATTAATAGAAACAGAAATACCATACAATCCAGCAATCCCACTCCTAGGAATATATCCTAGAGAAATAAGAGTCGTCACTCAAATAGACATATGTACACCTATGTTCATGGCAGCATTGTTCACAGTAGCAAAAAGATGGGAACAACCTAGAGGCCATCAACAGATGAATGGATAAACCATGGTACATACACACAATGGAGTACTATGCAACAATAAAGTACAATGATGAATCTGTGAAGCATCTCATAACATGGATGAAACTGGAGACATTATGCTGAGTAAAATAAGTCAGTCACAAAAGGACAAATATTGTATGAGACCGCTATTGTAAAAACCCATGAAAAAGTTTACACACAAAAAGTAACAATCTTTGTTGGTTACCAGGGATGGGAGGGGTAGGGGGGGAATACTAAATAGGCAATAGATAAGTGGTATCTTGGGTGAAGGGTGAGACAGTACACAATACAGGGGA